TGCTCCAGACTCAGGCAAGGTAGACACACACCCAGAGGACTCTGTGTCAGCATACCCCAGAGGAACCTTCACACCCATGCCTACTGCTGCACTGTGCACAGCAGGTAGGATGCCCATTGCAGAGGAACCCATAGAGAAAATGTAGAATATACGTAATGGGATTTTATGTAGCTGTAAAGAATGGAGTTGTGACATTTATAGGAAAAGGATGGAAACAGTAATTATTAGGTCAAGCAAAATAAGCCAGATTCAAACAGACATTCCATGTGCTTTCTCTCATGCAAATTGTAGATTTATTTTCTGTATGTGTAGGTACATATGTAAGGATGTGACTGTAGGTCATGAAACTAGAAAGGGAGCTGTAAGAGGTGACGACCTCTTAAGGGAGGAGTAGGTGGAAAATAAGAATGTGTTGACGTGACATGAAGGCTGAAGGAAGGTTATAGGGGAGCAGGAGCAGGTGACACTGGGGGCATGGGAGAGTCAACAAAAACAAAGTATATAAGCAGATCCCATAATGAAACCCATCACTTTTTAGCCAGTTTTAAAGACTAGTAAAGTTTTTTGTTTTTGCTTTGTTTTGTTATTGTTATTATTTTTAAGACAAGAAAGAAGATTTATTCAATGTGCAAGACCACCAAGAGGGGTTTTGTTGTTGTTGTTCATTGAGAGCAGCCATCTTCTTTTAGTGAAAATGGAATACAGAAGATAGGTTACAGCAGAAAGGCTCAGCATCTCTGCTTCTGATATCTGTGTGGTAATTACCCTCTTACTGCTATATTCCATCTTCTCTGGTTCACTTTAAAGATATGTGGATGTGATCCGGGCGGTGGTGGCGCGCACACCTTTAATCCCAGCACTCGGGAGGCAGAGGCAGGTGGATCTCTGTTGAGTTTGAGGCCTTCCTGGTCTACAGAGCTAGTTCCAGGACAGGCCCCAAAGCTACAGAGAAACCCTGTCTCAGGGAAAAATAAAAATAAAATGTGTGTGTGTGTGTGTGTGTGTGTGTGTGTGTGTATGTAGAGACACATTTTCATATACAGATTTTCATTTCATTATTCAGAAGCAAATGTATAGTCTCAGTGACTCCCCTGAGCATGTGACCAGTGCCCACATGCCACACTTACCCCACTATGCTGCATTTTATTCCTATGCTGTGTGTGAAAACAAGTTGGCTCAAGAAAAGCCCAATTAGAAACAAAACCTTCAAAATAATGAGTGTGCTACCCAGATAGCAGTTCCCTTGAGTTGTAGAAATCGCCCTCACTGAGCCCCTTCTCCACATAGGAGGTTGCAGGGTAGAATCGTATCTCTGATGATGTGCTGAAACCACAGGTGGTTGGGACTACAGCCACATCGAACTTAGGGTTCAAGGTCTGGCTCTGTGGTGCCTGCCGTCTGGAGCTGCTCAGGCCTCTGTCCTGCTTCATTTCCACGTGGAGTTTAATGTCTCTAACTATAGAGACAGTGTGCAGCTGTGACTTACCCCTTTCCATAGAAAAAAAAGAAAAGAAAACTGGTGGTTTTCTTTGAATTTTCAAGGCTTACCTGCCTACCTGGTCCCTAAGGCTCAAGCCTTATGGGCTGCCACTCTCTTGTGGTGCCATTTTCTCTCCTGCTCACAGCAGACCTTGTGTTGCTATGATAACAAAGGATACAAGGGTAGACTTGGTGGTCCCAGCTCTGATACCAGCGAGTCCTTCCCAGTCCCCTGCGGTGACAGTTTACCATGCAGCACAAGTCACCATGTCTTATCGACAGATCCACGTTAGTTAGTGTGTCGCCTTTGGATAGACAAGTTTCGAACTATATGGCACCGTAGTGTAGGCGTAAGTCACAAACAATGCCACACCAGTTTGGAATTATGATTAATATGGTGATATTTATTTAAAGGGGAAAAAACTTACAGATCACTGTCCCAGACAACAGCCCTCTGCGCAACCAGGAAGGGAGTCTAGTCGCCAGCGGAGCAGGAAGTGAAGAGAGAGAGGAGAGGGAAGTGGCCGCTTTTTTAAAGGGAGAGACCACGCCCCAATGGGCTGGTATCTCAGTGGCTATAGGCTAGAGGAGCGGAAGGACCTCCCGCAACACCATCGAGTATGAATTCTGTTTATCCTAATGTCCAGGCCTGCCCACTGTGGCCTAGTCAGCATCCCTTCTGCCCTCTCCAGCTCAGTGCCATATCTACAGCCACCTGGCCACTATGGCAGCTGGTCTCTCTGCCTCTGAACTCTGGGGACCCTAGAGAAGCACCCCAAATACAATTTATCTATGTATGCCACTGCCCTGTTTCAGACCCATTAGTGGCCTTATCAGCTGTGACATCCGGGCCTTGCCAGTCCCTCTTGTCTGCCCACTCTGAACTTAGTCTGCTCTGGCTCCCTTCAGAGCCAATTTGTGCACCTTCTTTACCCAGCATCTTTTGTCCTGCATAAAAACTGCCCCCGAGGGCCCTTCACCATACCAGACAAGTCACTGCCTCTGTGCCTCCATAGCAGCACTCTGTAGGGAAGACCCTCCTCACGCGTGTCACACTTGATCCCTGTTCATCTCCCTACCCCTTGCCCTTACCAGTTCTCTGGCAGAATCTAGGATAGCAAAGCCTGGAGACTGGAGTGAGGGACCTCCGGGCCAGACCTCTTGGAAGCAGATCACCCTTTGCCCTGTAGTCCAGCATGGGTGAAAATGACGACTGTCCTTGGCTTGTGCTTGTACCCCAGGCTCTGGCCCATGGCTCCTTGCCATGACTACCCACCAGCCTTAGCTCAAGTCTGGGGCTGTTCAAGAGCACACAGCACTGTGTCGAGGCCCTCCCTGTTCCCTTCAGTGGTGTGACTGCTTTCACTGCCAAGGATAAGCAGTCTAGCCCAGGAGAGTGGGCCTTCATCATTCCCACCTGCCCCTCTCTCTTAGTTGGGCACTGAAGCGAGAACTGGGGACAGGCAAGGAGAACACATGCTCCAAGAACAGTGGACAGCGGTGTTGGGGTACAGGGGTTGAGAATCCTCTGACCATTGAGGTCTGGCTAACAGAGACTTGTTTTTACACCCAACTCCTGTGTAGACAACCCACAGTTGACAAGCCCTGTGGTGCTGTAGTCCCCAGTGTCAAGGCCTCTGCCGGTGCACACTGCACATTGCACGTGCTGTGAAGACTTGCCTCTGCCAGAACCACAGGACGTTTTAATCATGTCTCGGCCCCTCAAGCATGCCACCTGCATCTTGAGGGTTTGTCAGTGACAGGTGGAAGCAGGTGGTGTAGACAGTGCATGAGATCACTTATCAGAGTGGTCAGTGAACCCCGAAGCTTCAAGTCTGTAGGCCTCCCTGAGACCTTCTGGTCCTTTCTAGCCCCAGGCCATGATGTCTGTGTCATGGCCAGGTGTCCACAGTAAGGCCTCCTGGGGGAATGTCTCTGTTTGTCCTTCACAGCTCTGTGTCCTTCGTAGATAGCTCTGTTTGCTCACAGCATGGCCAACAAATGTCTGCATTGTTCTTCTACAAGATGATGTCACCAAGACTCCAGCATTGAAAGAGGGAGAAAGAATTGAGAATCCACTTCTCTATCAAAAACAAGTAATTTATACATTAAGGGAATGATTAGTTTCCAGTCAAGAATTCTAACATTTTAGAGCCACAATTTCAAATCAAGCTTAATTTGTCAAGTGACTGAAAGTGGTTTTTTTTTTTTTAGAAAATTATTAGCTATTTTTTTCAATATAGGATTTATAGTCCCAATTAGTATCTTGTAATGATGTTTCCAGGATAAAATACCAACGCTCAACTTTTCTGGCCACAAATGTACAACATATATCAGTTTATTTTTGGAGATCTGAAAAATTAGCTACTGTAAATAAAGTCCCCAGAAGACTTCTCCGGGAAGGAGAAGAACTTACAGTAATGTGGGTGACATATTATTAATTAATAACGTGACCAGCCGCTGCTTCAATTAAAAGGACAATGGATAAGGAGGCCTAGTAGGTGTGTGTGGCCTGGTGAAGCTGAAAGGGAGAGCCTTAGGACTGGGGCCTAGGGGCTGCAGGCCTCTGTGCCATGCGCCCAGAGCTCTTGTCTAGCAGGTCCTGTGAACAGGACCATGTCTTCAGAGCAACTTTAGTTGCCATTATTGGAAACCAACTTCAAGGCAACTGAAGAAGGAAGAGCTACTTGGAAGGGCCCTGGAGAGTCTCCCCTAGGACTGAGTCCAGGAACCCCAAAGAGCCTCCTTTTAGCCTGCCCTTCTAAAGGTTACACTTAACTGGTATCTCTAGCTCTATTTAGATTTGGGGACCTGTCTGGCATGTGTGTACCATCGAGTTCAGACAAGATTATAGACACTGTTACAGACAGGTAAAACTAGAAAGCTCTGACCACCATGTACGGTACGGTGGGACGGCTACACAGAAAGGGCATCCAGGAGAACTTTCCTATACAGGTCATGGTCAAGGGTATCTCGGGGCAGGAAAGAGCCCACATAGACTAGGCTGGGCATGGGATGGTGTGAGGCTGGACCAGGTAACAGCCAAGAAGTGAGGTCATGAACTAAAGGGATTGGAAAGGACTGGGGGGAATTTAAATCCAGGTCAGTGGCACTGTAAGGTACAGCTATGCTGTTGTCTAAGAAAGCACTCCACCCCGTCCCTCCATGGCCTTTAGGAGCAGCGTCCATGCAGGACCGCCAGAGCTGAGAAAAGGCAGGCAGTCTAAGCACAGTTACTTTACTTGTGGAGTCCTTCACTTAGGCTGCATTGGCCTCTTCCTTCAGTGCTTCGGTATCTTGTAGAAGCAGTGTGTAGAAGCAGGAGCCCTCCTGAGGTGTGCTCCTCAGCATTGTGCAGAGGGAACCCAGTGTGAGTCTTTGTTGTCTGCCTTAGACAGCCCAGCTATCCTAGGGAACATTGTCATCCAGCCCCCACATGCTTTTGCTCATATCTGGATCAGGGCAGACACGGGACACCCCACCCTCCATGGTGATTCACCTCGCCCCTTCCCTCCCTCCAGGTCACGCAGTATTTAAACTCACGTATCTAAGCAGTCATGACTATAAGCACCTCTACTTCGAGTCCGATGCAGCCACAGTCAGTGAAATCGTGCTCAAGGTGAGTCCAATGTGGCCTTTGACCCAGAGATGGGAGGATGGGGTTCTAGCTGGGCTAGTCTCAGGCCAGGGCCACACCAGCCTTGGGGCAGTGACTCAGCACCTGCTGTAGCCAAAGCAAGGCTCTTCAGCTTCCTTCCTCCCCAAAGGCCTAGTTCTTCATCTGTGCTTTTTACCTTTCATGCATTGTTTATTTTCCCCAGCCACTGTCAGGAGCCCCTTGAGGCTCGGGAGCCAGCTGAGGAGACCATAGTTTTGAATTGCTGAAGGTGATTTTCTCAACCTGTTCCAAGCGTGCCTACTGGGGCTAGCCTGGTATGAAGCTCAGCTCACTCACTAGGTACCTTCCCTGTGCCAAGATAGCGTTCCAGCTGCCTCAGCGATGGCTCCTCTGTCCCTAGAGAACTCTACCTCATCAGGGGAGAGAGACGAAAATAGAAATTACAGTAGGCTACCTATAGTCACAGAGCTGCTGTGTGGGTGTGTAAAGGGGAGGCTGGCTGGTGTTGCCCTGGGTAAGCTTGCAGATTCACAGCAGCCTGGGAAGGGGCTGGCCAGCAAGCTGGGTTGCTAAAGAGGCTACATCCACCTTTTAGGTCTTGTTGATTCAGGAGCTCTAGGGCAGGACCTAGGGTTGGCCCCCTTCTATGAAGCACCCCATACCACCCAGGCTACTGGTCTCTGTGGTACAGCCCGACCAGAACTCCTCCAAACCAGCACTCCTTTCGCAAGGCTAATCCTGCACAGTTTAACAAGTAGAAGAAACAGCTGAGAAGAAAGAAGGAAGACATCTCCCCTTCCCTGGGCTAGATGAGCCTGACTTATACCTCTGGGCTTCCATTCCCTCCTTGTAGGGTGGCCATCAAGGGAGCTCTATTGCCCCCACCTGCAAGGAGCTGCTTAGGTGTACCATAAACCAGATGAGATCCATGGCCCTCTGGGTCATTGTCTCCTGAGAGAAGCAGTTGGGTGGCAGTGACAGGCACTGAACTAGCCTTGAAAGCTCCTGTTGATCCTGGCAAGTCAGAGGTGGGCACAGAAGGTGTTTGCATTGCCTGCGTGAACAAAATGCCCAGAGGAAAGGGAGCGTTGGTAGAATGGAGACTCTGGTGAACTGGCAGAACCAGAAACTGACAGTAGATGTGGCCAGTGTTGAAATGTGTTACCAATCCCCAAGATGCCCTGGTTTTACAGGAATACCACAGTTCAAAGACCCACAGCCACCCACAAAATCCAAAGGATAAAGCTTCTGGGAAGACAGTGGAGGACAAGGCACAGCGACATGGACGATGGGGAGGTTTATAGGCTACCCTGACTAGAGCCTCGGGACCAGGGTGAGGCCAGCGCCCACTCTGGACTGCTGACTCCCAACGAGCCAAGAGTTATTCCATCCAAGGAGCTTGTGCCAGGAAATGTTTGGAGAGTGGGTAAAAAAGTATCCCAGCCCCCCACTTCATCAGGGCCTGGACTTATTTTTATAGCCAACATTAAAATATTCGAGTCTTGAGAAGGGTTCTAGTAAAATTATAATCCTGTGTTTGACATCAGAATAGTTTCCCCAACAGCAGATTGATGACAGAAACCCAGGTTTATGACTTGAGTACGAGACCGGAAGACCAAGTACAGGGAAGCCACTTACAGGACAGAACACTCCCTCAAAGCAGCACTTCTCTGCCAAGCCCCCAAGCCTGCCTTCTCCCCTGAAATGTCTGTGTACATCTCAGGGTGTTTGTGGAGGTATCACGTCACCATGCACCTCAAAGGGCTTCATCCCAGAACCTGACTGACACAGGGAGAGATCATGGTCCTGACCAGAGGCTGAATTTCACTTTTCCTGTCCCCTCTCTCAAGGGGTTAAACTCCAGTTTTTCCACCATCCCCTTCATGTCATACCCAGGACTGTATGAGCTTTGTGCCCGAGCTCAGCCACCAGGGCCTCGGCTACCTCCAGAATTGACAGGAATGTTAAATCAGGCTCTGTATGGTTCATCTCAGACTCAAGTAACATGTCCAGAACTTAGAATGAGAGTTTAGACCAAAATTAAGAGCCCAAGGCTAGTGCCAGCGTAGCCATCACAGGCTTTCCACAGGACGATGGAGCTGAGTAGCAGCTACATTTAGGGTGTCTCGTCTGCCGTATTTCATCTAACCCTCCCACATTCCCTCGTGGTATAGACATCCTTGTCCCCATTTTATAGATGAGGACTGTGCTGCTCAGGGCTGCCCTCTACCCACCCCAATATGCTGGAGTCACACAGTGCTCAGTCCCTCCTTCCAGCCTCGAGATGAATCTCTGAGGAACCGCTGTGCTCTTCACACCAGGTTCTTCTGTGATCGAGTGATGGAGCCTGTGACTTTATTGACCATGAAAACTCCCTATATTTTTATGCCTTAAGCTGTAAAGTGCATCGAAAGTAAACCACTCTGTAGTGCATAAAATCGGGCACATTTTAAGCCACAGCATATTAACCAGCTAATGGCAGACCAAAGGGCGATTTTATCTTTTGATTATTACATTAATCTTGCATTAAAATTATCTATGTGATTATCACAAAGCACTGAAGATAATAAATTTAGGAAACAGTTGGCTTGTTGAGGACCATTTTAGAATGCTTTTGTCAAATTAGATGTGCCAAAAATACACTGTAAACACTGGGTCAGCTAAGTGTAGACGATACAAGCCAGAGATGGCATTTACCAAGCTTGAGAACGCCTCCTGCCATCTCCACACCTTGTCCACACTGCCACCGATCACCCTCCCAAGCCTACGTCCTGATTTATGGCTCTCCATTGGTAGCTTGGCAAGGCTGTGAACGAGTGAGGCAGTCCCGTAGCCATGCGCTAGCCTGTGCTTCCCTCTGTTGATGACCAGCACAAAAAGTCTGCGGGGCCCTTGTCAGAGCCTCAGCTGCCTTCTCCAGCCCAACTTGAGCTTTCTAGCCTCTGAGAAGTGTGAGAGGGGAACAGTCTCTGTGTTCACAAAGTCCAGGCAGAGCAGAACCGTGAAGGAAGCCATGTCTGAAAGTGCACTGGTTGTCCTGAGGTGACACACGCTCCAAACTGAAGTCCACCCTGACTTGCAGTGACCTCAGCCCTCTGCGGTTATCTGACTGACTCTGGCTGGTGGGGTGCAGCAGACATTGGAGGGAGGCCGAGGGGAGCTTTGTTATCACTTTCCACCCACCACATTTTCTTCCTCCAGATGTGGAGGCCAGAGGTGCCCTGTGACAACCAGGGCTGTAGAGCTGCCTGGACAAAGCTGTGAGAACATTAGCCTCGGGATCAGTAGCCCTACTACTCACCTGTCTGTTGTCAGCAGCAGCTAGTCCAGAGTCACCGCCCAAAGCAGGTGTCCCTTCCACCCTGTGCTCTGGCCTGGGGGAACAAACAGTGCCGCCAAGTAACAGTCCTGTCCTTCTGCTCCTAGGTCAACTACATCCTGGAGTCTCGAGCAAGCACTGCCCGGGCCGACTATTTTGCTCAAAAACAAAGAAAACTGAACAGACGTACAAGCTTCAGCTTCCAGAAGGAGAAGAAATCAGGGCAACAGTAACAATGGACTCCAACCTGTTGCCTCAGTCCAGGTTGCCTGCAGGGCTAAGTGACCCCGGAGTCCACCTTCATCCTGCAGTGCCTGATCTCACAGGCATAGGGCTGCTGGGCTCTGGGGAGAGGGTTAGAAGTAGGGGTGCCCTACTCTGGAGTCTGGGGACATTGCCATTGGACTGAAACCTGGCAATGGCTGTAAGTAGCAATGCCCAGGAACCAGACACCTCCTGGAGAAGCCACGCGCTGCCCAGCCATGTTCACTGCCTGGCAGTCCCACCAAGGATGTACATAGCCATGCCAGACAGCTCCTTGCAGCTTGATCAAATTTCTTAAAGCAAAGAAAGAACAAAAATGTACATTTCTTTTTTTCCTTTTAATAAACAGGTTACTCTTTATCATGGTTGGTATGATGGACCATTTTTGGGGGGCAGAGAATTGATTATATTATCTTCTTTAAAATCTGTTCCTGTTTTGATCAGGCAGATTGCAAAAGCTGTGATTGGCGCTCTCAGAAGGAATGTTTAGGCTTAGCCAAAACTATGTCATTTGTTTAAAGGAGAGTATTTGCTTTGAGAATAGCATCTTGGGAAGTTAGGAACAAAGGCCATGCGCACGTGCGTGTGAGTGTGTGCGTGTGTGCGTGCATGCATGGCTATCTTTTTCCCCTTCAAAGGCCTCAGCATGTGACCTGAGAGACAGGTGCTGTAGGATGGTGTGGCAGTGTGTCTCCAAGCATTGAGTTCCCAGCCAGGGTGGTCTCTCATTTCCTCAGAGCTAGTATATATGTTTAGCCGGAACCCCGAAGAGTCTGCCTCACTGGCTCTGAACCCTGTCTCCTGCCCTATTCCCAGTGCCTGCTGAGAGAGCTGTGTTGGGGATTGAGGAGTAGAGGGGAGCCCATGTCCTTGTACCCCAAGCCCTAGGTAGAAAAGGCAGGGTGCCCAGCACTCTGACACCACACCTCTGGCTACACCAGATGCCTCTGCAGACCTCGCCATGGTTCCTTCTGTGACAGCATCCTTTCATACTGTCCTGGACCAGGGCCACAGACCGACATCTCAAGCGGCCTGTGTTTAGAACATTTTTTACATCATTGTGTCTGAGCCTCTCAGAGCCAGTGTATAGGTCTTTGCTAAAGGGTCATCTGGGTGAATGCCTCTCTCATTCCAATCCGTTCAGACAACAGGAGCACCCTTTTCTAATGTCTTCCATTCCTGTCACCCCAAAAAAGATATTATTTGTAGCTTGCTCTGTATTTGAATTTTTAGCAATTTTATATTTAGATATCTTTGAAATGTAAATGACTAATTTGGTCATTAAATCTTGTCACATATTCGATATTAAAATACTAAAATAAAAGTCATAAATATCCTCTTGTATATTGCTTTGGATTTTAAAGCCTTGAGTACACAGTGCTGAGGTGAGGGTACCACGTGGGTCTTGTGGGGTGACACGCACTGGCAGTGGATATGCCCAGCCATGTGAAGCCATACAGAAGCCACGTCTGGGCATCCTTTTGCTCGAGGGGCACTGGAATCTCGGACTCTGCTCTTCACAACCGGTGGTATGTGGCTCTCAGCTGGCTAGGGTCTCAGGGCCTTGAGTTGCCTGATGTCAGTCCAGATGCTTCGTTAGGCCAGCTGCGATCAGGGTTCTTAACTCCTCAGGTCATTGTGAGCCAGCCTCCCAGTCTTAAAAGACGCCCCCTAGCCCTAATGGGGGAGTCTGGCCCAGCCCCGGCTCAAGGGAGCTCGTTGCTGTCTGGCCTAGTCTCTGAGCCTCTGCCGACACCTCTGGCTACAGTGCTGACTGGCATGCCTTCTCTATTGGCCAGTTTGGACATCCTCACTCCCTGTCACTTGCTGACTGCTATGGACCAGAAGTCTCCCAGCTCAGGGGCATGGTCCACACCTCGCAATATGTGGCTGTACTCTGTGGTTGTGTCTCTTTTCCCAGTTCGGAGCTAGCAGCTGGCCTACACTTCTGAGTCTTAGTGGAGGTAGCCCCACAGGCCATATCCCTGCCAGCTGCTTTCAGGGGCTCCCCGTCGCCTGTAATACATGGTGTATATGGGGGGAGGGGGCACCAGTCAGGTAATGTGGCCTCCAGACCAGAATGTGCTCCAACCCTAGCTGTCTCCTTACTGCTAGACCTTTGGGTGAGCTACTTCCTTGAGCTTCAGTTTCCCCTTCTGTAAAATGGAGCTGAAACTAGTTCCTTCCAAGGGTGCTTGTGAGGGTTAGATATGCTTGCGAGTAAGAGTGACCAGGTTCCCAGACGGGTGGCACACGCCTTTAGTCCCAGCACTCAGGAGGCTGGTAGATCCCTGAGACGTCAAGGCAGGCCTAGTCTACAAAGAGAATTCCAGGCCAGCCAAGGATATACAGTGAGAAGACCTTGTCTCCGAAAAGGAGGTGGAGAGATAGCTCAGTAGTTGAGAGCTTTGACTGCTCTTCCAGAAGACCCCAGGTTTAATTTCCAGCTCCAGAGGATCTGATACTTCTGACCTCTGCAGACACCTGTACTCAGTGTGCACATACCTACATGCAGGCATACATACCTACACATAATTAAAAATAAGTCTTAAAAAATAAAAATAAAAAGGGGTCAAGATCATGACAGGGAAACCCACAGAGACAGCTGACCCGAGCTAGTTGGAGCCCACGGACTCTGGACCGACAGCTAGGGAGCCTGCATGGGACCAACCTAGGCCCTCTGCATGTGGATAACAGTTGTGTAGCTTGGTCTGTTAGTGGGGTCCCTAGCAGTGGGATCAGGGTCTGTCCCTGGCACATGAGCTGGCTTTTCGTAGTGCATTCTCCATGCTAGGATGCCTCACCAACCTTGATGCAGGGAGCAGAGCTTGGTCCTGCTATGCCATGCTTTGTTGGCTCCTTGAGAAGCCTGCCCCTTCCTGAATGGAGGAGGAATCGGGGTGAGGGAACGGGAAGAGAGGAGGGAAGGAAAACTGGTATGTAAAATAAATGAAAATATATATATATATATATATATATATATATATATAAAATCAGTAAATAAGAATAGGCCAGGCTCCTGTGTTGATGAACAGCACCCAGACTTAGTGTCTTATGAAAGCCGTTTAATCTAGTCATGGGTCCAGCTTCCTCTGACGATCACAAAGGTCAGGGCTGGAGGATGGGACCTTCTACCCCCAGACTCACAAGATGACACACACTCCAGGGAGCCTAGGAGGGGAAGCCACCAAGGCTGAAGAGTCACAAGTGTGTCACCCTTTGCTGGGCACTCTACAGGAGCACCTTGTCTATGGGCCTGTTTAAATCTGCAACAGATTTACTATACTCTGCTCTGGGCTAGTGTGGGACCCTCTTATTTAATGCTGCAACACTTGCCTGCAATTGAACATTTTCTTTTAACTTAGACTAGCAACCTCTCACCTCCAAAGCCTTTTTGAACAAGCAGAGCCATGCAGTCCGGATTTAGTGAGCACTGTATGTCTCTGATACACACTGAAATAAATATGTAACTATTCGGGTTTAAAACACTCACCCGTGGAAGGATCTGGAGAGATGGAACGGTTGAGAGCACTGGTTGCTCTTCCAAAGGACCCACGGTTCAATTGCCAGCACCCAGATGGCAATTCACAATTGTCTGTAACTCCAGTTCCAGGGTATCTTGCACCCTCTTCTGGCCCCCGCCACGGGCACCAGGCACACATGTGGCGCACAGACATCCATGCAGACAAAGCACTGTACACTTAAAAAATAACAGGGAAACATTTTAAACCACGCGTTCAAATACCCCGAAACCATGACATGCACAAGAGACTGTCCCACATAGGGGACAGTAACTACCTTTGGACATTTTTGAAAATATTTTTATTAACATTTTATTTTTTAGCCGGGCGATGGTGGCGCACGCCTTTAATCCCAGCACTTGGGAGGCAGAGGCAGGCGGATCTCTGTGAGTTCGAGACCAGCCTGGTCTACAGCACTAGTTCCAGGACTGGCTCCAAAACCACAGAGAAACCCTGTCTCGAAAAACAAACAAAAAAAAAAAAAAAAAAAAAAAAAAAAACATTTTATTTTTTATTTGTGGGTGGCAGGCACGCACGTGTGGAGGTCAGAGAACAACTGTAGGAGTCGGTTCTCTCCTTCAGCCATGTGGGGCCTGGGATCAAACTCAGGGAGTCATCACATCTGGCAGAAAGGGCCTCTACCCACTGAGCCATCTTGCCAGCTCTTCCTTGATGCTCTCTCAGTGCCTGCATTTCACAGGCTCTCAGTTCTATTTCATAAATCTTGGTCATCCCAGGCCAAGCGCTCCCTCCCCCACTTTACCAATGGAGAAAGGGAAGCCACTTAGGGTCCTGCCCTAATTTACTTTCTGTTGCTGTGGTAAACGCCATGACCAAGAGCAACCTGAGGAAAAGATTTATCAGCTCACAGCTCCATGTCACAAATCCATCGTGAGAGAAGGCAGGGCAGGAACCCCATTGGTAGGAACTGAATGAGGCAGAGGCCATGGAGGGGTGCTAGTTACTGGCTTGCTTAGCCTGTTTTCTTACACCTGCCCAGAAATGGTACCACCTGCAGTGGGGTTGGTCCCTTCCACACCCACCATCAACCAAAAACCGCCCCGCAGTCCAGTCGAATGAGAGTAGATTCCTAGTAGAGTGTCCCTCTTCCCAAGAGACTCTAGTTTGCAGTGAATTGAAAAAAAAAAAAACAAACAAACAAAAACTAACCAGTACATGCTCTTGTCTCCACTCCCGCACCTTCCCTAGCCCACTGACGAGGGCCAGAAGGCAGGGAGTGTTTGCTCCCACCAAGCTCCTCCACCAGATGCAGAAAGCACCAGGGCGTGCGTCACTTGTGGAGTCCCCAGGCCAGTTCTCAGCTCAGTGGGATTATGTTTCAAGTGACTGTGCCTAAACTCCTCCGATGGACAGGAAGGCTCCCATTGCACTGGCCGCTGCTCACCTCCCGGTTAGACAAACACATTCTGAGGTCTGCAATGAGAAGTTAATTGCCTGTTTATTCATGTCTCTGACAAGTCACAATAGATTTTTAACTGCCAGTGAGTAACCTCCCCAAGGTGTGGTGGCCATTTCCACCCAACACTCCCTACCAGACTGCTCTCTCCTGGGGCCAAGGCACTGCCAGCTGTGCCCTCTTCTGCACCCCACAGAAGCTGACCACCCGGCCTCATCAAGGTGACCAGGGGTCAAGATGCCTATTTTCACCTGCCTCGGCCTCCGTAAAATAGAAGCAGTGGTAGTGGGGTTCAGCCTAAAAAAGCCAGCTCTACGAGGAACACAAAAGGCTAAGCTTGGGACCTTGTGCCAGACCCAAGGATCCAGCCAAGCCATCCACAGAGAAAATTAACATCTACCTCCGTATGCTATGTGAGCCCA